CAAAATTATATATATATATATATATATATATCAAAATTATGCATGTATATGTAAATTTGACAGCTGTCAAACTATCTACTGCGCATGTTCGCAAATATAGATTCGCTTCGTCGTATTTTTGGTGTGTTCCGAAACATGTGAAAAAAAAAACTGTCCCGTTTACAAATTCCCTGCCATGTATACTGTTTTCGACAAACGTTGAACTCGATCTTCACGCCAATTGATATTTTTGCCATTAAGAGATAAAGTACAATAAAATAATTTGTCTCATCACCCTAATCTAATACTTTGTTGGAAGAAGGATAAAAAATTAATAATGCGCCGGGGATGAGTAAATAATTCTCTTTACAGATATATTTCCTAACCACGGCGGATGTGAAGACGATTCTGAACGATCGAAATTGGCGCTTTCCCCCATCTTTTTGGCGTTAGAATACAAATAAACCACAGTCTAGCGCGTAATGAGCGGCGAGGCGAAAACGAAAAGTCGCTCGTGCGACCGAAGAGTCGACGGCGGGCTGAACAAAGTGTGCGTCCGCCGCGATACATGCGTGCACACGCGGTGACACACACGTTACACGATATACCGCTTGTCTTTTTCTATTTACCGTCCGTCCCGTTTCCACGCTCGTCCTCCTCCCCTTGATAACTCGTCGGTTATTTCGCGTTATCGTCTGATTGACTCATATGACCGACAGCGAAATTTCAAACATGACGGCGACTTTCAACGTGAAAAGTAGGCCACGAATTGCGAAATTGGAAAGTTGAAAAATAGCCGCAGCTGTTTTGTCGCAAAAATTACGGCTTGTTGAGTCCATATTATTTATCCGTGATACCAGAATCCCGCTTACCTGCGTTCACGCGCAAAGATTGTCTCAAATTTGCATAAATATTCATACTTCTACTCATAATTCGCAATATGCATCGTGATATTGTGGATACATGGATATTTTATTAATAGATCACGCGCTTATGACTCGATAACTACGTCAGGCCCATTACATGGTGACGTGCGACAAATTATACTTTCCGACGCACATTCCTTCACGGATTCAGTAGCCACCATTCTGGTGCTGATAACTCGCTATCTCCTAATGTAATTAAACGTGTCTCCCAATTTTTGTGTCGCCGAAAGCGCGAATATAGAGATATTAAGTGAACGAGGTGATTCCCTTCGTTCAGGTCAGAGTCCACCGTTCCCCGATATACACGTGCGTCTTGCAACGTTGTCATCGCGTTCATTCCGAACGTTGAGCTTTTATCAATGTACATTCTCTTGCCACAGTGTTTTCGCACAACTGTGCAAACATGAATCGTTCGCGCCCAACGCAATCGCAATCGCGATCGATCGCTTCGAGTTTTTTGGAAGATCAGGAAGAATTTTTTGTCACGAATATGCAAACGTTTGCCGCGAACACGACGCGGCGAAACGGGACTCTTCCCGGTATATTGCGGAAATGCCCAAAAAATCGCCGAGTTGACAGACGATTTATGCCGATACGAACACTGATTTCTTTCTCGTGTCCGACCGATAGCGCTTTCTCTCTCTCTCTTTCTCTCTCTCTCTCTCTTTGACTCTGGTTTTGTAAAACTCGAAGCGCGAGCACCCGACAAGCACGGATTCTCCGTTAGTTGCAATATCTAATAGATACCATCCTAATTTTTTATGTATTTTAGTGCCTTGTCTATTAACCAAGTACCGATGAAAAAATAGCGGAGGAAAATAATGGGAAAATTAGTGTATGAGATACGTTGCAACTATTCATTGGTAAAAAATATTGCGACTAACGGAGAATTAAGGGAGCTCCGAGTGGAAAGTATGTACAAAACGCAGAGATCGTGTCAGTTGCTATAAATATTTTTAATTTTTACTTTTCAAAAGCAAAATCACAGCTACATAAGATGTGGTTCGATAATCGTTAATATAATAATAATATAATAATAATATAATAATAATAAAATAATAGAAGATAATAATATTAATAATAATAGATAAAATTATATATATAATAGTTGTTCTTCTTTCTCTTTCTCTCCCTCTCTTTCTTTCTCTCTTGGATCCGTACAGCAGATACTTTAATACTAATGACCACATACGATAGAATCTCTCTAGCTTCTTCGAATAACAGTACGTTCTACTGGTATACAACTCCGCTTCGTTCTCGTCTTGCTTTCGTCATTTTCAGACGATAACCACATATGTATATATATTTCGTATTATATAATAATATATATAATAATTTTCATAAATTATGTATATATATTATATATATAATAAGGGGGGGGGGGAGGGGGTTCGACATTTATAAGGCAACCATCAAATATCGTTGCTAATAACTCTCTCTCTCTCTCTCTCTCTCCGTTCACCCGACGTCGAGTAAAATTCACTTTTCGCGATTACACTTCGAGCGAGTGAATTCCTCATTTCGTTTCACTCCGTTCGTTCTCCCCGTTCTTCGCACATCTCTGCCTTCCCGTGTGTCCCGTCGATTAAACACTAAATAAATATTATACAGATTTGTCTATCGACCATGTCTAATCCTCCGTAGTCCCGCAAGTGTCTCTCGACTTAACAATAGTAAAAATGTACTTCGACTTTTACAACGTGGTTTTATGGCACTCGTTTAATGGCTGGGCTCTATATAAGCCTCTCCACGTTCCCGATGCGAACGATATCTTCGGTTTCGTCTATCCTCCTTTTCTTCTCTTCTTCTCCTCCTCTCTTTTCTCTGCGCTCTACGGGGATGGTATCCGCTTCGGTATCGCGTTACGTCGCCAATGCGACACGCGATACCGAGTCTGGCGAGCTTTCTCCGCGATTTTTGACAAATCCTCGCGCAGAGACGACGCACCGTCGACGTGGACAGGATCGATGACTATCGACTCGCTATGGAATGCTACTATTGTAATATTTAAGAAAAAAAAAAGAACTATTAAGAACATCTATGTAGTCTCTGTATCCTTCGATTTGCGCGTAATCCGGAGGATCCGGCCGACTGACCCGGCCGAATGACCCTGATTACGATTACGATCGATTCTTCACCGTGGTGAGTCGGTATCGCTCGGCTCTACCTCTGGTTTCTGTACTGTGAAGTGGAAAATCGTAAGGACCGGGTATAATATTTCCGAAACGTGATAATTTCTCGATTCTATCACGAGCTTCGTCGCTCATGTTGCCGCCCCCGAAATTACACCAATCTGTGCTCCCTCCCTTTTTCTTTCCCCTTTTTCCTTTCACGTTTACGACTACGGGTCATAATGGATGAGACACGTCTTATTAAAATAAATAATTTGCTTCATTATATTACTCAAAATGTCCATTTTTGTACACAGCGTCTTATAATTTTTTACTTCACAGTTATTGCCGCAATACACGCAATCGGCAATCGCTCCTCCTGCTGGAAGAGGACACATTTTCGACGATGAAGCACGACCTCTCTCTCCCTCTCTCTCTCTCTCTCTCTCCCTCTCTCTCTCTCTCTCATTACAATATAGTTGGAACAACTAGCGGTAGCTTCGATATGTGACGTCTCGCGAGATTTTTCTCCTACCTAAGTGTGTCGTATTCGTCGCCGAATATCAACTTCGCGACCGTTAAGCATGCATTTGGACGATATCGCCTGATGTCATTGAATCCACGACTGGCCGATGTCTACGACGTAAATTAGAGCACTGGCGTCTATTATCGCTTACTGCGACGCGAGACAGAAAACATAAGGTCGCCGTCGATTATCTTAATTAGGAGCGGACACGTTCTGATTATGATAATGTTATAAATTTGTCGATTTTTTTTCATGATGCTGAAGTTCGCTCGTTACCGTCTGATGCAACTTGATGAGATTTTTCCACTTTCTGCCGGGATCGTTACTGAAAGACGTTCTGGCGAAAATATACATAACAAATTTTCGTTACCGGCGTCGGCGTTTCTTCTTACTAATCGCTAATACAAAGTTGACCGCGATTTGTTTCTTACATTCCGCGGAATTTCATACATTTCGAGGTAATTTTATACGCGATACGCCGGAAAAGTCCTTGGCGACGGTGAGTTGCGCGAATTAAGAATCAAATAATTCTTCTCCGAACGAGTCGTAGGTGTTCCATAAAAAATTCTAGAAACGTTATAACGGTTATCCCGGCGACTGTGCTCAGTGATGTTTCACCTAGTTTGATGCGCACTCCTTAAGGCACTAAAGTTATACAATCGCTACATCTACGATCGTCTTACGGTCGGCCAGCTAAAGTAATCTGGAAAAAGTTTCCGTCCAGGAACCTCACCGTTCGATAATATGGAAATCGATGAACGCGTTGATTCATTATTCAGGATTTGAAAGGACTCAGTCTTCCGTCGATTCGTCTTTCTAAATTCGATCGTGGCTGCAAATTGACGAGCATGTAGGACGGTAATCATAACGCGATCTTATATTTAAATTCGTCTTAAATTCATTTCAATATCTCGTTAACCGTTCACGAGAAAACTCGTGTTTTGCTAGCTGAACACTTTTGCTAGCGTATCACATTTCAAAACAAATTAAAATATTGCAGAACATTTTACAGATATCAGGTTTGACCCTGATAAACCAAATACAAACTTAACCACTCATTTAAAAAAAAAAATAATTAAAATGTCTCGTCACTTAAAACATCAATTTCGCGACTTTGATAAATTAAAATTAAATTAAATCGTTCAGTTTTATACAGTTATCTGCGTTTTACAAATGAATAACCGAGAACAGGTGTTGAACGACGATAAAAATAATCGGTCAATAATGCGATAAGATCTGTTTCATTGTCTACAAAAGCATCTTAAAGTGAATCTAAGACGATATCTTAAATACCCGATCGAGCTGTGACCTACCATCCTTAAATCTAATCATGCACGGAAAAAAAATTAATCTTAAATCCAAAACATTTAGATATTTTCGTAAGCAAGAATATCATAATCCTCTTAGGAGATCCTTTTAGTCTTGATTTAATAGAATTCACGCAAGTATACTTGAACTCAATTCAAGACCAAAAATTCTTCCAAGAGGATTGTAATATTCTCGCTTATATGTGAGAATAAAAATTATTCTTAAACGAAGAAACTATTCTTGAATGAAGAAGATTCTTGATTTCAGACTAATCTTTTCCCGTGTCCACGATTGTGATCTAATCGTCGTTTCTTCCATCGCTACACCGTATTACAAATAACTTCCTGCGTTGAGTGTCTGTTTTTGTACATTATCTAAGGCACGGCCCTACGAAGGTTCGGAGAAAATTCTAAAGGCACCCTAAAGCGCGTCCTCTCACCGAGCAGTCGCGTAATGTTTCTCCCGTGTGCTACGTCTAATTGTCCGCCCCGAGAAAGAAAAAGAAAATATGCGTGCCCTGCGTTCTGCAATTCTTCGCGCGAGAATCGCGCGCGCGAACCTCTCCGGATACCCCTTATCGTTCATCCGGCGTCGTTATCTGGCCTCGTCTGCCTACGGGGCAAACAAATCGTGCGTCTCATTAAAACCTCGAAGATAAGTGTGCGATCTAGTTGTCGCGATCTTCTACGCACACCTTGCCGGTCGTCGCGTCTGTGTGTGTGTGTAAAATAAACATTCAAATACGAAGGAAACGGAAACCGCTCGCCCGACGAAGGAACACCCGGCGAGGCTGCGCGAGAAAACGGACTCCGTATCGAATGAAAGCGGACAGGATATCGCGGATATCGTTGAGCACGCTCTAGGAATGGAAGCGTGGAAGACCGATTCCTCCCTCGAACGCGACTCGCACCACAATCACAATGTACACATACGCTATACACACATATATACGGAGAGAACAACAGTTTTGCCGGGGCAGCAAATTGTTTGTCAATATTGCGACAGCGAAAAGACTTGTCGCACCGGTAGAAAGAGCTTTGCCGTTGGCAAATAAATCAAAGAAAATTTAGTCGGCTTGACCAAATTATTTTGCCGTCCATACATCCAGCAAATAGCAATTTACTCATAACAAATCTTTCTGCTGTCCACGCGGATCTTTTTGCTGTCTAAACGAACTTTGTCCTACCGTCACTATGTTGACAAACATTTGCTGTTCCAGCAAAATTTCTTCTCCCCGTGTGTTGAACGGTTTTGCGTTACATCGATCAACGGCCGAATGCACACCTTTTCGTCGCGATATCCGCGTATATCCGACTTATCACTTCCGGTCTTCTCCTCGACTTAACCATTTCAACGATCTCGTCTTGCATCCTTGTCTCGTCTTCCACCCGGCCTACCTCGGACTCCGCAGTCTAGTTTCTTTAATTCTCGGCTTATCAATACTGTTTGTGTAATTCTCTCATCGCGTACCCTCCGAATCGCGATTCGTCTCGAAAAGCGCATTTTTTCCCTCTCTTCTGCTTAGAGTGCTCGACGTTATCATAATCGTCATTGCACAATCGGCTCTCTCAGTTTAACCGATTAAGCGAACAGTTTGGGATTACCACGGCAAACACGAGCGAGTTTCACAATGGGACTTCCTAATCGAGTGATCGCGGGTTAAGTCTGGTCAGTTATCACGAGGACGCGAATAGTGCCGGGGATGGAAAGGAGATGTTATTTCATCGCGCGCGGCAACAATTCTATCTGCGTCGTCGCGTAGATAACTGCATCGGCTCGGCGAACTTTCACGTTACGAACGTTTGTTGCCAACTCGACGTTTACAAATTCGTCACATTTGTCTCTCTAAAATAAACCAAAGGTGGTCAACGTTACGCGCTCAATGCGGGAACGAGCGCGTAAATGAAAAAAGAAAAAAAGAGAAAGAACGTAGTCAATTTTGCGCATGTAACTGCTTTTATTACGTGAATATAATATAAAAGAAATGCATGAGTTTGAAACTTCACATGTCGTGTCTTTTACAAAATCTGATCACGAGTACCTATAAGTCCGATTGAAACTGAATTCAAAGCACGAAAGTTAGCTTGTACGAGGAAAGAAATCCAGCGATTCAGCTTGCAAATAATCCAGGAAATGCGGTAAAACGGAAATCAGCTGAAACCATGATTCTTGCACTTTAGTCGACATTCGAATAAGCTAAAAACGGATGGAAAAGAAACTAAGTTGGCAACACCAGTCAGGAAGTTTCATCGTGAAATCTGCCGGCGGACCGCCAATAGGAAGGCCCGTGCGGAGCGCGTTGGTTTGAAAAAGAATCACTCGGGAGAGATAAGAGAACCGGAGATGCGGAAAATAGCCGGCGCGCACGTCGTAAAAATGTTTCCGGTTATTGCGGGGTCTTCTTGTTATCGATTGCGTAACGTAGACGTTAAGACGTCGCCGATACGCAACAGACGTTTCTTAAGTTCGCGATCCAGACGATTCTCAGTGGGGAGGCGAGAGACGCGATTCCCGCTGTTTGTCACGACGCGCAGAAAGAGTCTCATTCGCGGGTCATCGCGATCCGTCGGTTTCGCTTATCCTTCCCGCCGCTTCTCGTCCCGTCGATAACGCGATTAGGCTATATTCTAGATCGCCGTGAGATCTATTCTCACACGGAGGGTACACGGGATGATGCTAACGAAGGGAAATGTACACGGGGCTTCCTTTCTCTCCCTCTCTTTTTCTCCTATTAAATATTATTATAGTTTGTCTTTTTCTCGTGCTAAAACTATGCGATAGGCTTATTTTCGTATTATTGTCTTAGGTGCTACGCCACGTTCCGTTCACGTCCCTCGTTGGTTCCCGGTTGCCAAGGCATCGGTAGAATTCTACTCTGAGATTCGACTCTATGTATATACGCGTATGTGTGTGTGTGTCTGCGTGTACGTGTGGTATGAACCTTGTACAGGCGGAATATGCCCCACGTTCGAGTCCGTTTCCGGAAAGCTTTCTGGAAACTGCCCGACAGATTACGGCGGTAGCTCGATACCTTATCATCGGTTCAAAGTTCTTTAGACCCTGAATACGAAGAGATCGAGCGTTGCCTCGGCGTCGTTTCCTCGATGCTGCCGCGGACCCTCGACTCGTCGAGCCATTTTTTAGTACTTATCCCGAAGGTAAACGTTACTGACTAGCCCCCCAGCGGATCGTGCCGCGAATCGTCCGCAGGAACGATCGCGAGCGATCGAGGCACTCGAGCGATCTCTCAATCTCCCTCTCTATCTCTCTCGGGGAATGTCTATAGGGACTAGGAATCTGCCTTGATTGGCCCCTTCCGGAGTTTCGCGGACGACTGTTCGACCTCCTTTTTCGCGGTACAATTGTCGGTCGATGACGAGCACCGAGCGCTGAGACGAAGTCGCTGACTAGCCTCCGGTTCCTTCCTTCCTTCCCGCCCAGCTGGCTACCTACCGCCGGTTCCGCTGACGCCCTTCTCTCGGGGGAATGTCTACAGGGAGCAAGGTAATGCTTTATTCGAGCCTGCTGCGGCACAGGACTTCCACGGGAGATCGTTAGGTGTCCATGTGCCGGTACTTGTGCGCCGACATCTGCGCCAGACCCAGCACCGCGTACTGACACTGCAGGCAGTGATAGTGCGTCTGCTTGCCCGAGTGTTGGCACTGTACACCGCCGCACGGTTGACTCGGGGTGAACTTCTGGAAGCCCGCCGCGGCGATGCTGTCCAGCTTGGCGTGTTGCCGCCGATGCGCCACCACCTTGTTCGTGTCCGTGCAGACGAAGTCGCACTTGAGACAGTGAAAGTGCGACGCCTTGTTCTGCATCGAGCCGAGCGAAGACGTGTACGCGCACTGGGCCCGTCCGCAGGGCACGTTCGCCCGGTACTGTTGGAAGTCGCCGCCCATCAACGTGTCCAGCCGCTCGTGCCGCGCGGTGTGCTGCACGAAGCGAGTCTTGTCGCAGAAGGAGTAGCCGCAGTCCTGCCGCATGCAGTGGAAGTGAGTCTGGTGCTCCCTGTAGCCGCAATGGGGGTACCTGCAGTCTTCGTTGAACCTGAACCTGCGACACCCGCAATACGACCACCGAAGTTAAATGGAATCGGCGATAAATCATCGGCTGCACACGTCCGAAGAGACTTTCCACAAAATTCTCATTCTCAAGGCTCGTATTCTGAACTTTCTTTTACGTAAGTGTCCCGAGATATCTTCTCGGTTAATTAGGTGGTTTTTAAGCCACTTTTGTCGATAAAAGAGGGTCCCAAATACGAGCCTAAAGCTTCTGCTCCCTCGCTGCTATCGTCTCGTTTGATGATGCCGGAGGCGAGAACTTTCTCTGAATGTGTTGAAGCCGAAGGATATTCCATAAAATGACACTTGTGGCCGATCGATCGCATTAGTAAAATATTTCGAAAACTTTCGCTCAATCGGTAAAAATATAACAAACAATGACGAACGATCAAAGCCGCAAAATTGCTCGCAACTTTATTTTTTAGCCCATCATTCCTCGCGATTCCTTCGCGTTAATTTTATGGCTGTTTACTGATTGTTATATTAAAAAAAGAATTTTCGGAATATTTGACAAATATACAATCGATCGCAATACATAACATTTGACGAAAGTATTCATTTATTTCAACAATATATTCCGCTTTCTCGCTTCCGTGGTCATCAAGCAAGATGGCGAAGAAAAGAGGGGAAATGAAAGCAGTGATACCAACCTAACATATCCCTCCGGCACAGGCTCGTCCTTCAGCATCCGCATGGAGTGGTGGAGTCGTTGCTTCTTCGCCTCCGGCGAGTTAGCGTCCGGCGGCGAGAGGGACCTCTTGTTCAGATTGAGATTAGCCGCCAACGAGGCCAAGGGGTTCTCGTCCCTGGCGGGTGGAAGGAAGTTGGTCGGTGGGAGACCGGGCGCGAACATCAGCCCGGGTGCCCCGGCGTACATGCCGCCGTGCTGGAGAAACGGCGGCAGGGCCTGATTCATCAGGGCGATCTGCTGGTTCATGGCGGCCATCACGGCGGGACTGGGGAAGTGGAAGCCGTGGGTGAGATCGAGCTCGAAGCTGGTGGGTACCGCCGAGGGCTGCTGCACATTCGGCGGGATCGGCGGCTGCGCCAGTTGCCCGTTCTCGTGGCCGTCCATCGCGGCACCGTTCCCGTCGTCCCGGGCGATCTCGGCCGGCTCTCGCTTGACGCTCGGCACGTTCTGCACGCCGATGTCGCACCTCGGTTTCTCCAGCTTGATGTCCTTCGGCTGGGACGAGGACTGCTGGCCGATCTGGCCGAGGGTCTGCTGCATCTGCCGCTGCATCTGGTTCTGGAAGTTCTGTATGTTCTGCGCCATCTGAGCGTTCGGCGACATGAAGTCGTGCTGCTTCTGCGAGAGCTGGGCGATGTAGTCGTGCTGGAGCTGATTCGGCGACGGGCTGACCACGTCGTGCTGCTGCTGGCTGAGGATCGCGCCGGTCGAGTGTTTCGCGATGTGCGCGACCAGACGGTCCAGCTCGGAGAAGGCCTGGTTGCAAGCGTTGCAGTGATAGTGGTTCTTGCGCTTCAGCTTGCAGAACGGCCTGCTGCAGCTCTGCTCCGGCCCGTAGAGGGTGTGCGGCGAGGTGGAGCTCATCGACGGTATCACCGGTGACTCTGCAACGTCATAGACTCGTCTGAACCGGGCCCGTGCGTGGCCTCGCGCGTGAAACGCCGCGAATGCGAGATACGAGAAGGTGATCTAGTCGTGGACTAACACGGGAACACTCTCAAAGAAGCACAAAACTTGGTTCAAAAGACACGAACCTTGGTGCACGGAAGCTCGCATGGATAGCACGACGCCCGGAAGTGCGGGTTCGCTCGGCGGTCCGCTGACCGGATAATAGGTGCCAGCCGCCCTCACCACTAGCAACAATCAACCAAACAACCAACACTTCAAATATACCTCCCACTATGAGTATACAACCACCGTGTGTGTACAGTATATACATCGGGAGAGAGAATGGGACGAAACGGTCTATATCGCGGGAGACGATCAACCGGGGGATAGCTACTACTTCAACAACGAATGCGAGGTGGTGACCCGAGGGTTGTGAACGGGGCTGCGACTACGTGCAGAGGAACATGCGTAACGTGTGTTCGAGTGGAGGAGAGAGTCTCGGTCGTGTTTCTCGGAAACAAAAGGGAAGATCACTACCAAACAAAACTATGGACGAACGGCGGGCTCACCGAGGACTTACCGGTGGTCTTGCCGCTGTCGGGACTCGCGGCCTCCTTGTCGTCGATCATCGTCCTGTTGTCCGGCTCGCCCGCGGACAGAGTCTCGTCGGGCTTCTCTATCAGCTCGGCGGGGTTCTTCACTTGGATCCGGGGCTTCGTCTCTTGGAGCAAGGACTGCGTCTGGCACTCTTGACTGCTCGACTCGCAGGACTCGCCGGAGTGCTGCTTCTCGTGCATCACCATCGTCGAGTACCTGACGAACGAGTAGCCGCAGTTCGGTCTGGTGCAGTGGAAGTGACGGTTCACGCGGTTGCTGTGGCAGCCGGCCAGCCGGCAGTCGACCATCTTGTCGTAGAAGGCGAAGCCCGGCGGTATGTCGACGTTGTCGTGGAAGTCTTTGCTGTGCATCAGCAGCTGGTCCGGCCGATCGGTGGAGAAGTGGCAGCGCGGCTGCGAGCAGTGGTGATGCTTGGTCAATCTGAGGGCGCACGCCGCGTCCGGGCAGCCGTCCGAGTTGAAGGTGGCGAACCCGTCGGGCTCGCCCAGGCTGTTCGAGGGCGACACGCTGCCCTCTCGCTCCTCCAGCAGCGCGATGGGCGTCAGATTGGGCGCCTGCGGCTTCGGCAGCTTGAAACTCGTGAAGATCGCCTGCGGTGAGTCGTGGGTGTGCGTGGCGGGGTCGCCGCCCGACCAGATCTCGATCACTCGGTTTTTCGGCGGCCTGCCGCGCTTCCGCCTGAACATCGCGTCGATGTTCGTCAGGTGGGTCAGCGTCACGTCGGAGGAGAGGCTGTGCGACGGACAGGAGAGATTCAACTGCCGGCTGTACTCGTGGATCTTGTAGTGCTGCAGCCTGCGGAACGGCTTGTCCGTCGAGAGTATCACCTCCCGACAGTTCTCCCAGTTGCAGTGATAATGCTTCTCCTTGTCCGCGTACGGACAGCTGTCATCGCAGCCGCCCTCCTCGAAGAAAGCGTCCGTTATGCGCTCCTGCGTCTCGTGCTCCTTCAGATGCTCTCGGACTTCACGGGGATCCTTCAAGGTGGCGCCGCAACGCTCCAATCCGCAATGATGGTGCTCCCGGGCGGCGTTGCACGCGCATTCCGCGCTGGCGGGCACCAGGTAAGCCAGTTCGGCCGCGGTGAGTTGTTGGGATTGCTGATGTTGATCGACGGAACTTCCGCTCGCCGTGACGGCGGTGGTCGGGGCGGTGAGGTCTATCGCGAGGTCGCTGCCGCTTTGGAAGGAGTCCTCCAACGAGTAGTACGACGGAGAGCCTCTGCCTTCGTTCGAGCTCTCGCCGTTCAGGCTCAGGGACAAGCTCTGACCGCTCAATTCGTCCGGCGCCCACGAGCCCGAGGGACGCATGCCACCCGTCGCGCTCACCTGCTTGTACTTCCGGTACGCCAACTCGGACTCGTGACGCTCGTGTTTCCGCTTGTGCGAGAAGAGCTGCCCGGACGAGTGGAGAACGTAGCTGCAATGGGGTCGTATGCAGTGAATGTGGTTGCAGACCCGCGAGAACCGGCACTGCTCGAAGGGGCAGGCCTCCGATTTCATGAACTTCTTGAAGCCGTCGCGCGACAGTTGCTCGTCCTTGATGTGGTAAGACTTGTGCTTGTCTGCAAGAAATCAGATGAGAGGGATGACTCGACGAGGAGAAGACACAGTGGGATAGATACGAATTAATCAACGAAACGGCTCTTGTCGGAGCGTAAAGCTGATGACGGAAGGCGTGTCGAGTCTTCTGTGTGTGGAGAGAGAGGGAGGGAGAGAGAGAGAGAGAGAAACGATACTTTCGACCTAGAGCGCCAACATTAATCACGCATTCCTTACCCATGTCGGCCTTATTCTTGAACGTGAACCGACATCCCGGTCGCCGACAGTGAAAGTGCGTGGTCCGTTGACCAGCGAACGGACAATGGTCGGTCGCGCAACTCTCGGTGGCCCGAAATCGCTGGAAGCCCTCCTGTATGATCGCCGAGTCCTTGCGATGGTAATTCGCGTGCATCTGCACGTCCGACGTCGATATGTACACCTTGTCGCAATTTTCGTGGATGCAATGATAGTGGGTCTGTTTTCTATTGTGCGGACAGGCCCGGCCGGGATGCCTGTCCGAGCAATCGTCCGTCGGCGAGTATCTCATGAAGCCGTGCTGCAGGGACTCGTCCCTCTTCTTGTGCCACTTGAAGTGCCTGATCATCTCCTCCTTCTTCACGAACACCCGGCCGCTGCAGTCCAGACAATGAAAGTGTTCCCTGCAACCCATTTCCTTGCAGTACGTACTGCCGCATTCCTGACTCGAGCTGTACCTCCTCACGTATCGGGAGTAATCGATGATCGGCTGGGACACCGTGGTCTTCGAGCCGCCGATCAGGGAATCCGCCACGGGAGACATGCTCTGTCTCAGCAAAGCTGCAACAAGCGGGATCCTTCTTACTAGACTGCGACTGCTTCCAGTGGGGGTGACGTTCGAAGCGACGACACCCGTTTGTTACAATGTCCCAATTTTACGGAAATCAAATCGAATCTTGAGATCTGAGAAATAGAACACTCTTTCCCTGTGTAAAAACGGCAAACGTCGGGGAAATAAAAATCGAAAATTCAAAATAAAGCAAGACAAGCTAGAAATACAGAAGCTGGGCTCGATTTTCCGATCGACTCGAAGCAGACGTCATGGAAATACATTGGCGAACGGTGACTTTCCGGGGTCCGGTGTTAGTGGATGAGTACCGCGACTTTATTGACCGCGGACTACACTGATCAGCCGGCGTTAGAAAATCCCCAAATCACGATCGGTTGTGATTGGCAGTGGTCAGTTGCAGCAAATGAGCGAACAGGACGCTCCTGTGCTTAATGTTATTTCAGGAGCGCTTTAACTTTAGCTTGGAATGAAAAAGGAAAGCTGAAATAGGATTCCCTTCGGATGGGAGCTCCATTGCTTTCTATCCGCCATTGTTTAAATATAGTTTAAATTCAGCAGGGCGGTATATTTTTTTATTTCTTCATTGAAGACGCACACATAGAGGTGTTAGGTACGAGGCCTCTTTTGGCTGAAACGATATGTTCCATACATGATGAAAAAAAATATTTTCTTGAAAATGAAACGTTACTTCCCCTAAATCATACTATTTGATGTTTGTATTATTTTACTATTTTTTTTTCTTTTATTAAACAACCCGATTTACTCTAGTGAAACGACATATTCATTTGAACAAAATGGCAGTTGATATTAAATTATGTTGTTTATACGTCAAACAAACACGTATACTAAATCCAAAGAAACCTCTATGTGTAAACATCGTGAAAAAACTACAATAAATAATCATACAACAAATAATTCCTGTAATATGGTGCCCACTTGGTCAATGCGATGTTTATTACGCGAAAACTGTATATACGATTTTCAAGTGACCCGGTCTGAGTCGCTACTACCCGCAAATCTATCCGCACGATTTCGAAGAGGCGCGCTGAATTACTCCGCGGGTCACAGGCTGCCTCGGAGACCGGCGCGAGGTAAAGGTTGGGCTGGAGCGGTTGGTCGGCAGGCGTTTCTCCGCGGGCAACTGCCGTTTTACCGACCGCATGTCCCCGATAACACCGTTCGCACGGAGGCGCTCGCACCATCAGAGGGGACCGGAACGACTTCTGATACATATACCGAGAGTTACGAGCGCGCGCCGTTCGTCGACCTATCGAGCTCTCCCGCGCGCCCGAAAACTGGTTGTTCGGTGGGCGCACGGCCGCGCCGCAACGGTAAGGAGAACACGAGCGGAAGAAAAGAGACCGCGGCGGAGAGGAGGAAAGAATGGCCGGGGTAGAAAAAAAAAGAACTATCGGCCCGTGATCGCAATACGCGTATGCAAAAAGCGCGCCTGCGGTCGCCGCGGGCGAGACGGAGGAGGCGCGTTTACCTCGGCGGGGCCGTTCATAGCTCTCCTAAAAGGCCCGAAACGGCACGCAAGAAAATATTGAGCGCGAGAGACGACGCAATTCGGTTGACCAATCCTCGCTCGCGATAATTATCTCCCGGAGGTAATGCGCGCACGAGATGGAAATAAACGCGCCGCTCTCTTTTTTTGCCTAAACGAACGATTCTACGGTTAAAGAGCTCTCCCGAGCGGTCTCTGCATTTCTTGCCCGGGAGGTGTTTAAAATTTATTATTTGCGCCCATGTCTCGGAGAAGACGCTCCCGGCGAGTCGCGCCGCCCTGCGCGGAAGCGTCAGATAATGTGACTTTTCCCTATGAGCGGAAAGGTTGCAAGTTTCGTGTGAAAAGCTTCGCATTCTCATTCCTCGGAAAGTTACACACGATCGCAGGGAAAAAGGAATCAACTTCCACAGTTGAAAATTAGCTATCCGTGTAATACAACTGAAATTTCGTTCGTTTCGTTAGTTACCAGGCCTAGTTTTCACTTTGAGATATAATTCTCTGATTATATTCGTACATGAAAAGGAAAGAATCGGCTCCCAAAAACTAGATCTGGTAACGAAATTTCAGTTGTATCCTATGCAAAGAAAATAATTAATCGAAGAAGTTAGTCTCAAAAATCAAGATTAGATATTCTCGTGTATAATCAAGGATACTATAATTTTCTTAAAAGCTTCTCAGTCTTGATTTGATTGAATTCTGGCAATGTACTTAGTGTAATACTTAGTGTAGCGTGTAATTAATGTAAGTATTACATACGTTGAATTCCAAACTAAAGATCTAAGAATATTACAACCTAAAATCTTCTAACGACATTATAATATAAATCTGGCTTACATACGAGAATATCTATCATTGATTTAAGAATACTTTTTTCCCGCGTGGACAGCTAGTTTTCAGCCATGGGATCTTATTCTTCCTTCCCGTGCGTTAAAGTCGTCGAGTGAAACCGCATCACACTTTTCCCGCTGTCGGGAAAAAAGAAAAATACACGATCGTTACCCTGATCGATACATGCTATCGGTGATAATTCGAGGGACGCGCGAAGAGAATAAAATTGCCGCCGACGACTCGTGTCGTCGACTAATTGCACTGTAATTAAATTACATCGGCGAAAGGAGGGGAAATAAGAGCATCTCGATCGTCGCTCATTAACTTATCTCGGACGCGAGTCGCATCGATCGGAGGCTCCGGTGACTCGATACGTGCTACCCCGCAGCATCCATCAAGCCACCCAGCGTTCGATGCACCCTACCAGGAGCGAGGACGATTCTGAGAAATTCCTACTTGCGAACTGTGTGCTCGCGCGCGCACGAACGCACGTTTGAATGCGCGTTCAGGAACGAGTTTAAAAATTGTCGAATATTTCTCGTGGCTCGCGGGGCTTCCCCGCGCGCTCGCTCTCTCTCTCTCTCTCTCTCTCACTCACACGGTGGTATATGTGCCGTCAGGACGGAGGGAGCGCGCGCGTACATTGGCCGCCCGTGCGTTTCTGCGAGAGCGCGGCGTATATGCGCGCCCGGGCACAAAAAGAGAAAGGGTTTGGTCGCGAGAGAGAAAGAGGAAGAAAGAGAGACAGAGATGGAGAGAGACCGGGAGAAAGAGAGAGGGAGAAAGCGGAGGAAAAGAGAGACGAAGGTTACGCGAGAGGGAAAAAGGAGGCGAGGGAGAATTCGGCGCGCATTATTCTCCCGCGTTATAACCGGCGAAGCGTAGACGGTACCTAAGGATGAGGGAGAAAGAAAGGAAGGAAAAGGAAGGGAAAGGGAAAAAACAAGAGAGAGAAGAGTAGCGCGCATGCCTTGTATTATTATTTCCGCGCGAATCCGGACGGCCGCTCTCTCTCTCTCTCTCTCTCTCTCTCACTGGGCGAAATCGAGCAGCGACGGCGGATTTAATAATAAGCGTCGTCTCGCAGTGTCACCGGATATGTTGCACCCAGTTACGCGCGGTTGCGTAACATTCGGTTACGGCGATTAATTTATCCTTTGGCAGAGTAATTACGCAACGCAGCTGCGTGCCGCCTCCTTCTCTCCCGCGCGCGCGTACGATGCGTGTGCGCGCGGCGTTCATTAGAGGCACCTTTGGCTTTCGCGCCGCGGGAAATTGTTGTTTGCACAAATTTATAATCCGCTACCGACGTCGCTTTGCGGGTCGAAGCTTCGAGCACGTAATCGAGAAGACGAAGAAGAAGAGCCTCCTCTCGCGCGCGGGCCAAGGTCCACGTACGTGTCTCGTCGTCCCGTCGTATTAATCGAAGATAAATATTAAACAGCCGACTCGCTCGCAGGAGAAGATGGGGTCGGCTCCGTATCCAGGAATGTCGCGAATCTCCCGTCGACGCCTAATTATGCGAACGGGGAAGCGTGCCAAAATCGTGATGGCTCGTGAGTGAAACTCAACGTCGCGCGCGGCCTTGAAACGCCGCGAAAAAAGCAATCGATCTGCAGCCACGGTGTGCAGACTGAACGACGTTGTCCACCGAGATTAAAGGTATCGTCCCGTCGAGACGAAAGTCACACGCGTCATCGTCGGTCGTTTCATTAATTCGTTTCGACGCCGGCGACTGTGGGATTCAATCCGATCGCGGTAGAGCGCACTGTCAGTCACTCGATCTTAGAGTGTCTGTAATGAGAGGCTGGACATTGCACGTCTAATTTCTGATTGGCTTCGCCATGTTTGGGCAAGCTCCTGGTTGGGACGGTGGCAAAGGCTGCTTTCCAGCGAGAGACAAAAGTCGACGATAGTTGTAGCAATTGTTATCCTTTTCTTTGTCAGATGTGAAATAGGGATATGATGACGAGTGATGATATAATTAGACTTGTGCCAATTCGCGTCCCTTGCTGGAAAGCAGCTGAAGTTATCGGCCGAGTGACAACGAGCAAAGATTTGCCATGGACGGAATATACACTGAGAAAGTTGACTCGAATCAAATTCTTCTTTCGATATGGGAGATACGTTTTGGTTGTGAGAACCAACCTCGGCAGCGCGCAGTTGAGTTCGTATACGTTCTTGAAAGTGAAACAGATTTGGTGCGGAAAACCGAGTCTTTAGTTCGCGTGTTTCATATTGTGATCAATTATTCATGTAATTTGGTTTCCACCTATCTTAATAGTATCGAACATTGATTTGCGCATCAATAAATCTGAGCATTTCGCGTATTATGCTTGTGAACTTCCGGTTTTAACTCAAATATCGCGGCCACCGTGACGCTATGCAGATTCTTATTACAGGGAGTGTACTCGACCCGAAATCCGGGTTTCCGGCAAATTTAGACTCTACGAAAAATCACTTTGTATCTTTCCTCCCCTCATTAAGCCAATTATTGTGCTGTATAAAAAATACAAGACGATACCCGCACTTTCCTGCCACGTGACGGCGAAAGGAGATACCACCCACGTGGCCGCGGTTCGGCCGGCGGTAGCGAGCGAAGAATACGCGCGACGTGACGGGGCTTAAAGAGCAAATCTTAAAAAATATGTG